ATCCAGCGTTCGGCGGAAATTATTTGGAATTCGGGACTGGAAAGGCGGAAGAGAGAGAGAGAGAGGAGGAGAGAAAGAGCCAGTTCGGCATTTCTCTCAATTAAATGCGTAGCTTGTTCGAACAATTGTCTTCAGCAGGAAATTAAAATAGTGCCGGGACTTCTTCTCCAATTACCTTCGCAAACTTGTTTGATAAAGCAGTCAGATAGTAGTAGTACATTGAGTATATTCTGTCGTGCGCCATTAAAAGGTTGTTGCTTACAAAAGTTCCAGAATATCATTAATATGAGATTATCGCGTAACTTCTATGAATTTAAATTAACTCTGCCTCTTTCTCGTCGCTGATAAATATATTATATTTCGCATATATTTCGTAAAAAAAAAAAAAAAAAAAAAAAAAAAGAAATGTTGAAAATATATGCAACGTAAAAAATTTTTATCAGGACCATTTATGAAATATTTATATTCGAAATACTCTCAGGAGAGAGAGAGATATGAAAAATATTCATCAGAATCACTCATCAATTACTACTGATCGTGGATTCGCATACCGGCCCGTTCCGTAATCTTAAAGTTCGCGCCCGGTGCAGCGACTTCGTGATACTCTCTATCCGCGCTATTAATCAGGCCGCAAGCAAGCGGACGAAAAAGCGAGACGGGAATATGATTTATAACCAGACGCGCAGAGACGGACGGACGCGCTTGGATTTAGATCGCGTAGCGATGTATGCCCAGTTGCGCGATAAATAAAGTCAAGGGGCATTATATTTCGCGCGCGAGAGAAGCGCGTGAAAAATGATTTTCACGCCGAGTTCAACTGAAATATATTAAGCCGTAGGCCGAATTAATTACGCCCTTTATTGCGCCCCAGTCGTCGTATATACGCGCCCCGGTCTCATCGACCGTGAGAGATTTAATTACGTATTCACCAGTCAGATAGTCTGCAAACTCTCGAGAATGCGAATTCAAACAGCGAAGCAGCGAGATAAAGATACTCAAAGCACGCTATTAAATGTTATTGAAGTCTTAACAAATTTTTTCCGACGCTGAAATGGATCATAAAATCTATCTTTCGCAGATTTTAAAATAAAAAGAATTTTCAAATGATATAGTTACGAAAGAACACTTTTTTTTTCTTTACATATGCAGTAAAAATCTATCTACAATAATTATAAAATAATTCTCGACGATGTTGTAATGTAAACACAGTATTATTAGTGTTACTAAATATATTCGAGAGAAGATACTTAAAATATACCAAAGCTTTCGGCACTGATATGAGAAATTTTGTATCGTTTTACGTTTTATAGGCAGTGCGTATTATATTTATATTTGCATAACGATGAAGCCTGCTGTGGGTAGGACCGCTTGGAAAGCCGTGTATTCATGCCCAAGTACGCTCTTATGTATTTATGTATGAACGATATGCTAAGTGAGAGAGAAGCCCCCTCGGAAACGTCTATTATTCAACATAGTGAATTTCGGTTTAAATCTCGTGGATCTGTTTCACGAGATGGAATTGTACGCGCTCAGCAAATCTTTATTTTTCAATTTTATTTAATACATGCTTTATGGCTATATTTTATAAATATAATAGATATTTAATTATAGAGGGAATAGGGAATAATAGAGATAGGTGCATAGAGATATACAAATATAAATTCAACCTGAAAATCGCTGAAGGATACATAATGTATTTTTTCAGCAAATACTTGAGATAAGGCTTAAGAGTGGCTCGTAATAATTATAACCAGACACAACATAGTAATTATATATGCATTACGCGACGATCATAAAAAAGGAGGAACAAAACTAATTTAATTAACCGTAAAATTTATGGGATTGTAAGGCTTGATAAACTTGACGAGAGAACGCGGAGCTGATAAAATGCGACCGCGCGCGTATTGAAAGATTACCGTAAATGTCGTGCGATAAAGTTTACAGCGCGCGCACGCTCCGCGTATATACCACCACCGGCACAAATTGCACCGACGGATTTACATAAAAATTACGCGCGCCCGTAAACGTCGGCTCTTTATGATATTGCGAGAGCTTTATTGCGGAGCAGCCCGACGCTCGTCCGCGTTGCCCATTCGCGCGACGATCCACACCGCCGTGCACGCGTCGTTAATTAAATTCTCATTACGACCCCCTGCACTTCCTTGCTCTTTTCCTCCCCCCTCCCCTCCACTCACTCCGGAGCAGCATTTTACACGGCGAGCTATGCGAGTTACACACTCGCTCGCGCCGCGACGTGTCATTAATAACGCCGCGCCGGTTTACCCGACCGCTTCCTGCGAAGAATACGTCATTGTGCTTTAATGAGCCGCGCAAGCTGGTGCGACCGATCTTTGCGCTCGTCTCAATACACCGAAGGATGAATCAAGGTGTGGGCGACGACGGTGTGTTGACACTCGCTTTTTTAGTGTCCTTGCCATTAATATTTTCCCGCCGCGTTTTCTACGGCGTTATATGTCTCGTCGCGAGGGAGATTTATGAACAGACGCTCTGTTTAGGACGAAATCATTCCGGTGGAAGGCATTTTATGCATCACGCCATTATCTCGCGTAGATCTTCTTTAATTGAATTATTCTGTTTTCTGTATTTTGCCGGATTATGAGGCGAGACGCGACTCTTTAGGCGTAAGCGTTATATTATGTAATGCGGGCGTATACGAATTCATCAATGTCTTTGCTATAAAATGAAGTGCTTATTGAATGATTCAAATATTTTTTGATATATTAATTTCTGATATTGTAAAGTATACCGAGTAATATATCGAAAAAATTTGATTTGGCATTTGATTCTGGGCTAAATTCGATAATAATTCATCTTTACAAACAGGAAATGCACCGAAAAATGTATTGAATTTGAATAAATATTTATTTTAATACTGCCTAATAAATCATTTATTTGAAATTAATAATAGTGATTTGATGTGAAAAATATTTATTTGATATACACAAATTTTTAGAACGGATAAATATTTATTTGTTTCAAATGAATAATTGATTAGACAGTATTGAAATAAATATTTATTAATTTAATAATTTTTTTCAGTGTGGCTATCCATATAATTCAAAACTTATACATAACTTTAATTAATTTTTTTTATATATTATTAATAACTATTCTCAAGCATGTTTAAGTTAACTAAAAGCCGACTTTGTCACTTTTCAAAGATTTATTAAGGATTTCTTATTTCTCAATAAAATTTAAGTCATCGTATCTAATATAGAGAACCTAAATGATCTAATTTCAGTAGTAGTAGATAGAGAGATAGAATTATTCAGAAACTCAGGCAAATTAGAGGAGTATGACGTATGACGCAACTCATGCAATTCATCATCGCTCTACATTGTATGTATACTCTTGTCATTAAAGCTATCAGATATATCGGTATAATAGATATCCTCATGTTATCTTTCAAACCTATATGTGTCAGTTATATGTTCTCTAACTTTACTAAGCGCATTTATAATGTGAATATTAAACAGTAAGGATAAAGGATATGTATGAGAATTCAAATAGTAAATATATAAGATCGCAGCAAATTAATCAAGAATTATTTGAATTATTTCGATTAGCATTAGATCAGTTCAACAATTTTTAATTTAGATCGAGAAAATTAATTAAATTAAATCGAGAAAATGTTTATTTATTAATATTATTTATTATATATTGATTAATTTTGCTTATTTATTTTTTTATTCAAATTTGACAATAAAGAAAGAGAAAAAAGAAAGAAATAAAAATGATATTTTAAAAGAACTAGAATCATATTTATAAAGTAAATATCAACTCGCGTTATTCTAGTAATAAGCATTTTGTTAAAATAAATGCTAATTTGGAATGAGATGTTAATGGAATGCAGATATTCAAAAATATTTGTTCTGCGATACGTGTGAAGAAATATTTGTGTTAGATATTACGTTCATAGGAGTATTGCGATTTTCTGAGATAGAAATAATGCTCAACACTGTAACGCTTTTAGAATATTTTACAAAAATCTAAAATCATATATATATATATATATATATATATATATATATGCAATATTATATATATGTGTATGTTTTGTATAGATATGTTGCATATATAATAAAAAAACGCGGTTATCGCAACAGAAAAATTCTGTTAAGATAATTAACCAAATGTTTCTTTCTTGTAAAGATAGATGGTTGCGCATATAACCGATCCATTTCGCTTGTCTGATTTCATTGTCCGCTAAAAGTCATCGAACGGCCAGTCAATTAACCAAATCGTCGCGTAACGCGCCGGCGAATCGCTCGAAAGCCCCTTGCTTGTCCCACGTTATTTCATTACGGGCGTTGAATAGTGCTTGATTGACCGCGGCGTGTTTGCCAAACGAATTCCTTTTGTAATTCGCAACGCGACTTGCCCATGCAAGAGACTGATTTTTCGTCGCTTCCAATAGAGATACTCGCGGACAAATCATCGATTTTGTCATGTTATTGCTTCTGTAGACGGAACGATTAGGACGATTGTAGATTCGATGGCTATTGTTTTAGTTTGCCCCAGAAAAGTTCAATATCTAGAAAGTTTGATTATTGTTGCTGACATTGGGAAACATTTTTCCTTCTTTGATTTATGAATTTCTGACCTATCGTATCAGACGAAATTTTATATTCTTCATTTTGCAATGCCGGAAAATAACACATAATTATGGTCAAATTTGTGCGCAATTATTTAATATTAAATTAAGGTAATACTGAAGGAGAGCTTCGTCTTCTATGATTTTGCCGAAACTTTACAATATTGTATATTTTTATGCGTAAAACACGAATGTATAAATTAAAATTATCACACTTTTAAGTAGGAAAAAAATGACAGTGAGTTCCATTCCTCGAGAGCGGATTTTAATTAACAGATTCATATTTTACGCAAAAAATATACAATATTGTAAAACTTCAACAAAATTGGAGAGAATTTTCATAAAATGATTACCCAAAATTTAAGTAAAAACTGATGAGACTCACCGATGCAATGACTAGCAGCGAAGTTGTAAACTGTAAAATATAAATATACATGGAAACTATATAGTGAAATTTAAAATAATTTAACAAAATAGATTTAATAAAATAATATTTAAAATAATTTATATTTCGAAAATTACATTTCATTATCATTTATATTGAGAATATTTAATTAATAATAAAATAAATAATAAATACATTAATTTACCCTATAGTTGCTTCACCGTTGTCCGATGTATATTTTCGACGTGTTTCGGTGAAACGCGAAAGCTTATTCCCGCGCGAATTTCTCGCTTCACCGCTTTTTTTAAGGTTACTTATCGCAGGGCTTCATTGAACGACTTTCCCGCCACGCTATCAGGAGTCCCGAATTGATCACTACACACCTTACGATGTCGGTACACGTGACGCGTCGGATTTATATAATAATTAATTAACGACACTAATTAATATATACTCACATTTGTACTTTCGTGAACCGGCGAAACTGTGAACGATAAACGCGCAAACATTAGTCACGAGTCACGAATAATGAGAACGTGTACCAGAGGGCAGCAGCATTCTAGATCGTGTTCGAAAATATGTTTCTGAAAGTGCAGAATGTGACTGACCAATCGGAGAGCAAGGATTCCTTTGTCCTGATTGGTCAATCGAGCGTTTCACTTTATAGTGTATGTATTTTGAACACAATCTAGAATGCTGCCGTCTTCTCTGGTGCACTTTTTCATTATTTTACAATCAACTTTTTCGCGCCTATCGCCGATCCGTGAAAGTACGAGTGTTAATATATTAATTAGTGTCGTTACGTCGTTATAATTAGATTCGATCGCATCGCGTGTACCGACATCGTGATGTGTGTAGTGATTAATTCGGGAATATCGGCGACTCCCGAGTGCGTCGCGGGGAAGTTGTCATCATTTGATATAATAAGACCCTTCGATAAATAAGTAGTTTAAAAAAGAGCGGGGACGCGAGGACGGAGCGAATAATCGGTTTTATTCGCGCGCTCTCGCGTTTCCCGCGTTTTACCGAAACGTGTCGAAATTGTGATAGCTAAAATCCGGACGTCGCGAACGAAAACAGTAACGCGAGTGCATGTGTTTTAAAGTGCAAGTGCTTCTACGAGGAGGAGGCCCGGGCGGCATCGGACAACGGCAGATCAAATATATGGTAACTTATTATATATTTATAGTCAATTATAGTGTTTGCTGTTATCTAAATAAAATTATACGGATAATCAGATAAAATTTTGGCGTCATCTTATTATTTTTATATATAGATAATAAAAATATGTATTATATCTATATCTGCATCTAGGTCTTTGATGAAAAAATCTTATCTTTATTAAATTATCTAGAATAATGTTCAGATAATTTGATTTAGACTCGTAATACATATATAAATATTTAAGTAGTTGAATTTAAGCGAAAAAATTCACAAATAAATATATATGAATATATTTTTATATTTCTTTTATAATTTACATTTTTTTATAACTGTGTTTGCATAAGCGGTTTTAAAAATAATATCATTTGGAAATAATCTATATAGACGAATCGCTTTATAATTTTATTTTTTTTATTTAGAAATATTTAAAACAAAATCATCTTTATCTTATCTAAGATAAATTTACATATTTTTATCTCACTTTTATTTAACTAATTTCTAAATTATTTAAGCACAATACTTCTTATTTATTATTTATTACTACTTTTATACTATTAAAAATTCAATGTAAATAATAATTTCATTTTTTTCAAATATTAATTCTAAATATATTTTTTTCACTATCTAATTTTTATGTATTTATATTTTACAGTTTACAACGTGGTTGCTGCGCATCGTACTGGTGAGTGTCATCATTTTTACTTAAATTTGAGTAATAATTTTGTAAAAATCTTCTCTGATTTTGTCGAATCAATTTTACAATATTGTGTATTTTTGTGTGTAAAACATAAATCTGTAAATTAAAATCCGTCTCCGGGGAACAGAACTCACTGCAACTTTTGCTACTTAAGAGCAAATTTTAATTTACAGATTCGTGTTTTACGCACAAAAATACACAATATTATAAAGTTTCGGTAAAATTGTAAAAGACGGAGTTCTCCTTTAGTATTATTATATATTATGCAAAGAGGATTTTCTAAAAATTTAGAATACAAGTATGCGCAAAAGAAATTCAAAGTAAATACGTAGTTTGCAAGCTGACAAAAAACTATCATATGTTTATTATAAATTAAATTAAACTACATATATATAATGTAGATTTCGAACTTTAAAAAGTGAAGAAAATTAAATATGTGTTTTTACTTTTCTCTATGAAAGTTTATATATTCTTTAACATTACAATAGTTGAATAAACCCTTCTAAAAATGTTATTTAAATACCATAAAATATGAATATCTTCATGGGAGATGCAGGAAATTGTTACTATAAAAATATTAAGATGGCAGCAAATTAAATACAAAGCATTATGCATTTTCTAAATCGGAAAAACTCGAAGACTTTTAAGATTTGATTTCTAGTTTAGTCACTAGTGTGCGTGATATTTTCTTCTCTTCGTTTATAAGCATATGCATATCAAATTAAATTATTATCTTAATTTAATAAAGTTTACGAGAGACTACCAGCAATAAGATATTCGCGAATATCTCCATCTCGCGGGATTAGCCGACGGAATCTCGAGTAATATCGGTTCTAGCTATTCCCATGTCGTTTTCGTTATCCGAACAAATCTGTTTGCGCTCGCGTCTATTCCCCTGTACAAACGTCACGTGGACGCGATCGTGGAACCGAATAAACGAATAACGTAATCAGATGGATGGTAACTCAGCGTGCTTAGAAGGCAGTATAATGTTTTTTGGAAATAAGGGCAACCACATGGCGTACGAGCTTCATAATTACTCCGTCTAATCCTTGCACAGATGATAGATCAAGGGTCGTTTCTTTATCTTGCAAAACATTTCCGCGACTACGTTCATCGCGACTTGTTAGGAATCCTAGAAATAAAAAAAAAAAATAATCTAAGGAAAGCAAGAGAGAAGGAAAGAAATATGCCATGCGGCAAGCCACAAAGCGCGTTCGCTCGGAGGCACGCCTTTTGCGCGCTAATGGCTTCCGCCGAAAATTACTCTCAGCATCTGACGTCGTTTCCTCACGCTCCGATTATTTTACCTTCCAAACCTCCTGGACCGATCGTGATGTGTCCTACAAAATATTATTCCCTACTCAAAATTAAAACGAAAAGCGTTGATTTTTAAAATTATACTTATAATTCGACAACGCAACGTCGTGAAAAAAAAATGATGATACATTTTATCTTTAATGCTTTATAAAATTTCACATAAATTTTAATAATACGAAAATTTGCTCGTTTTATTTGGCGTTTTTTTTGCCGGGGTGAACGTTGAATTATCTTCGCAGACGTGTGGATGGAAGGGTCCGCCGACGCCACTCACCCTCTCTCACGCCGAATAAATCCACGCGGCGAGAGATTTAGTAACACTTAAGGCGCGTGTACTCGTTCGCCAATTTGTCTCGGGACGGAAAGGTACGAGCTGGTGTGTATACCGGGGCGCGATAAGGCAAGCTCTGAAAATGCCTCCCGCTATATTATCACTATCGGTCAGCTTTATTTATTGCGCCGCGGCATGGGGTAAGGCGTATGCCACCAGTGCTAAGGGGACCCATACGGTTGCTTCTCTCAGCAGGCGAAAAACAAATGGAGCCGCTTCTCGGTCCGCGTCGAGACGGAATTGCTGCGAGTCGAGAACGGACGGGGGTGATTTCGCTCCAGAGAGCGGTCTATCCCTAAATTCGCTGGTACCGCTTGTACAAACACAATGTGTTGAGCAATAAATTTATTTTTATTCAAAAAGTCTCAATCTTGTTGAAATATTTAACGATTGTTGATGGATTTGAAATTTTAAATCTCTGAACAATCTTAATCTTTTTTATTTTAATTTTGAAAGCTTTTGAAATATATAATATTAAATATATAAATATATATTAAATATATATTTAATATATAATATTAAATATATTATTAAATATATTATTATATAAATATATTATTAATATATTATTAAATATATTATTTAATATATAATATTAAATATAGGTAATATTATTTATTGAAGTAGTTATGCGTATAGAATTTTTTTTGACCGTGCGAATATTTTTGATTAGAAATAAAACTTTTTGTCTTTCACTTTCGGATGTAACGATTTTGAAGTATCTCGCGAAAGATCGATCAAAATAGTTTCGACAGTATGACTATCGATTGTGGTTATTGTCACGAATACTCGATTGTCCGATAGCGTAAGTAACACCTCGTGAATCGACGCCTTGGGACTCGCCGAATAACACTTTCGTCGTTTCACAAAACGGAAGTAGCTCGTCGGGGAATTGCTCGTCGTGTAGCAAAAGAATTTTCAGAGATCTGCACAAGATCCCTGTGACTTGCCAGCGTGAGATACCGTGAAATTGCGTAAACGAGAGCGCTTGTGTAAATCGAAACGACGGGGATCTCGTTGTATCATGCAATTCCGAATGCGCGCGTGGCTTTGTTTGCACGAGAATCGAACGAAAGAAAAAGAAATTTCTGCAATCGAGTTTGTTGGGATAAAATTGTTGCTTGGATTTAGATATCGATGTTATAAATAGTACGTTTTATTATTGCTAAAGCATAAGTTCTCGTTGCATTCAATAGAAACGGCACAGTAGAACAAGCGCAATATGGTCAGACAGCTGCGTCATTTTCTATTTAACTACAATACATCGCGTATAGATGTTTAAATATATATAATTAGTGCTAAAATATTGATAACTGCAAATTGACATTTATAATTGCAAAATTTGTTATATATTATCGAAAAATAAAAATTTATCTTTAAAAGAATAATAGTATTCAGAGAATGCTGTAAATGTCTCTTGACAAAAAGAAATGCATGATGAAATTTTTTGACGAATATAATTTAACTTGTGTTTGTATTTAAAATTAAAAATTTCAATTTGGAACTCGGTAAAAAGATAATTAAATATTTGATGTATCGCGGCGAGTCTTTGAGAAAGCGTTTTTGACAGCTCGCTCTACAGTGTGGTCTGATTGTACATCATATCTCAAATGTCGATGCGTGAGTGTGTGTATGTGTGTGTGTGTGTAGTTTATTTTGCTTCAAAGAATTCTATGGTTTTGCAATCAATATAATTCTCGTTTGTTACTGCACGCTACAAATACGTCAGTTCGTTTATATGAGTGTTATACTGGAACGTTCTCTCTTTCTTCTTTCTCTTCATTACGAATGAAGTCGCTTTTTATTAATTATGTTTCTCGGAATTAACGCCAGAGTACCATTGAAAAATACTCGTCGACAAGCTTATTGTGCATTATTCGCATAGAACAACGCATCCGTGTGTTTTTTCAAATACTACTCTAACACATTTCAGAGTTTACAATATTGCAAGCTAGAATATACAACTGGAATTATGCACTCTTCCCGTAAGGGCAACAATAT